GACTCAGCAGTGAGGAGCACTGGGTGGAGGATGACTCAGCAGTGAGGAGCACTGGGGGGAGGAGAGCTCAGCAGTGAGGAGCACTGGGTGGAGGACAGATCAGCAGTGAGGAGCACTGGGTGGAGGAGAGCTCAGCAGTGAGGAGCACTGGGTGGAGGACAGATCAGCAGTGAAGAGCACTGGCTGTTCTTACAGAGGGCTTCGATTGGGTTCCCAGCACACACATGGTGGCTCACAATCATCTGTATCTCTACTTCCAGGGAGTCCACTATCATCTCTCCTACGAGGGCACCAAGCATGCATGTGGAATATATATATATATATATATATATATATATATATATATATATATACACACACACACACACACACACATATATATATATATATATATATATATATATATATGCTCACAGACAAAACACTCATACACATAAAATAATAAGTCTTTAAAAGGCAACAGCTGAGAGCAATGAGGGCATCCCAAGTCTGACGGTGGCATTTGTCCTTCCCATAGGCTGTTAATAGTCTAAAGACTACACCATTCAGGCCAGAAGACAACTTTGGCATCTGGGTAGGCTAGTGGATGGCTCTCACAGTGGGAAGCAGTGATCTGCTGGGGCCTATGGTGCATATCCAGCCTCCACAGCAAGTACCTGTTCTATTCTTCTAGAGGACTTTGTCCTCCACAACCTGCCTTGCTATTCATAAAAGCATGCTGGCAATGCATTGAAACTGGCATCCCTGGAAACAACTCTAAACAAATGATGAACCAGGTGAATATAAGCTTATCCCCCTCATCCTCCAATAGGATGCCATGCAGCTGTGTGCCTCCATGGCTGTCCAGATTCTCCCAGCACAATCAGCTCAGGCTTCCTGGTCATTTGCTCTGAAGATCAGCCTTTCTTCCCCTTCACCCTTTCTCCTTGTCTCCAAGTCTGTTTCTGGCCCTCTAAACCCAAATAATATATTTCCCCCTCAATATCACCTTTCCTTCTCTTACTTTACTCTGGGATTGAGGTGTAGCCTCTGGCTGCTTGTCGGAGTCTGCCAGAGACCAGCTGTACCCTGCTCCTACCAAAGGGTTCTTGTGTGAAGGAGAGAGGAATGAAAAAATGATAGAAAGACAGAAAGAGACGATAAGAAAGACAGACACAGGATAGCTTCTGGAGGGCCCCGAGTCAATACCCAGCCTCCCGGAGCTTTATTCCAAAGGGCTTTTTATAATATGCAAAGAGAAGAAGCAGAAGAGCTCCCCCTTTCAAGATCAAAGCACACCATAAGCCAAGTGTAGACCCTTCCAAACACCTGGTAACCACGCTTGTGGTCAAACCATGTCCTTATGCAGCCCTGCTGGGTAAAGCAAGCTCAGAATCTGAGACCCTGAGTAAGGCCTCACTAGATAACCTCTGTGGGCCACCACAGCCACTTGCTGGAAAAGGTGAATGGGAGGAAACATTTTGAGCTCTTACATATCAAAAGACAGCTGCCACACTGGGTTTACAATTACTATATAGATATGTTTGCACATATTCACGTTATGACTAATAATTATGTACAATTACAATACTTTCCGAAGTTCCCCACCACATTGCTGCCCAGCCTCTGGGGACTGTTGCTGTAATCTCTCATGTGCTCTGGCATGTGCAAAAGCTCAGGCTGGACCAGACCTTTCTGTGCAACCCAGGCTGGTCTCAAACGTGCAACAGTCCTCCGGCCTCGGCCTCTTAAGTAACGGAACCATGTATGTGAGGCCCGCCTGGCTACTTGCTTTTTCCCCTCCTGCTGAAACCCTCATTATTTGGGTAATTGATTGCTTTACTGGTTCTCACATTTTCTATATTTGTTTTACATTCTCATCTTTTACTTCCACCAAATCTTAGGACACAGTTCTGAGAGTCTGTTGGCCACATTCAACTATTGTGTTTTAGATGTACTATCATACACCTGATTAAGTCTCGTAGCCAGAACTCCCAGTGTACAACATCTAAATAAATGTGTTTTGTGTAGAGAGAGTGAAGGATGAATGTGTGGCCCCTGAGTATAACCTCCCTTGGGCCCGAGCCAATGCTGCTGCTTCCTGGCCTGTCTTGTCCAGACCAATAAACTGTTACTCTCAGCAATAAACATGGTACCTGTCAGTATTCATTTATGAAAAATCAGAATCCACCTAGTTATTTTTTAAAAAGATTTACTTTTAGTTATGTATATGTCTGTGAGTTTCTGTGTACAATCTTGAGTGCAGGTGTCTGCAGAGGCCAGAGGTGACAGGTCCCCCTGGAACCAGAGTTACAGGCAGCTCTGAGTTGCCTGACATGGGTGTTGGCAGCTGAACTCAGGTCCTCTGCAAGAGAAGTATGAGCTCATAACTACTAGGCCATCTCTCCAGCCCCTTTCTAGTTATTGCAAACAGAGGCCATATCTTAGAAGAGTGTGGGAAGGATGGGAGAATGGAGAGGACATTGCTCAGAGATTAGAAATACAAAGGTTCTGTGCCCTCATAACTGGAGGGAGAAAGGCACATTGGTAGTTCATGACACCACAAGGGCTGTGCTGCTGATGGGGTCAGGGGCCATGAGTCTTACTGTTGCTCCGCATGTGCCCTGGAGTCCAGTCTTCCTGACACTGCTGGGTGTGCAGCCCACAATCACTGGTTTCTACACTGCTGCTGCCATAACTATCCATAATACAGCTCCTGGAGGTCACCTGCAGTAGCTTGCTGTCATCTCTGTGACTGCAGCTGCTGTACCTGGAGGTCACCTGCAGGAGTGTGATGTCATCTCTGTGACTGCAGCTGCTGCACCTGGAGGTCACCTGCAGGAGTGTGATGTCATCTTTGTGACTGCAGCTACTGCACCTGGAAGTCATCTGCAGGAGTGTGGCATCATTTTTGTGACTGCAGCTGCTACACCTAGAGGTCATCTGCAGGAGTGTGCTGTCATTTTTGTGGCTACACTTAGTCACTGAACCCTTGTGGCTTTAGCTATTCCACTGCCTACATTTCTGGAGCTGGAAAGAAAAGAGGAAAGAAAAAATGGATTTTCTATCCTTCATGTTACTCTTTTACCAACATCTTGAGATGTTTAGTGGACATGCCACAGAGCCTCGTAGTTAAGAAGGCTTGGGTGATCCTACTTCAGGCATGGGCATAGAGCTGGATTATGGGAAAATTGCCAACACCTCCACTTATCATGTGCTAAGGGGTACCAGGATATCCCTACATCACCTCACCTAATCTTCACTACAGCCTAGCGTAGTAGGCACAGGGAGCCCACTTGCTAAGAGATAATGCAGACTCAGTGTTAGCCCATGTGCCCAAGACTGCATGACTACAGCGTGGATGCATCTGGGGTCATTCTGATTCTAAATCTTGGGCTCTAGAGGATTTTGTTTCCTAAAGGTCACTGGGAGTTATTTGTTTTTAATTTGTTTATTATTATTATTTCACACTAATCTATTTTGTGTATGCATGTGCATGTGTAGGGGCACGCACATACCATGCATAGCAGAGGAGATGTGGGACAAGTCTCAGGAGTTACTCTCAGGTAGCAAGTTCCTTTACCTGGTGAGTCCTCTCACTAGCATTTGTGATTTATTTATTTATTTATGGACAATGTTCTATGCGTCTCAGGTAGGCCTTCTTCTCACTATGTAGCTGAGACTGACCTTTGACTCCTGACCTTTCCTCTTTCACCTCCCAAGTGCTAGGTTTACAGGTATGTACCACCATGCCCAGATGGAGCTATTCTTTCTGCTCTCAGCTGTCCTTGGCAGGTGTAACCCTCCTCTGAATTGGTCATCACTGTTATCCTCCCTGCCAGCCTAAGGAGCAGCCTTCTCCTGTGACCTAAAGACTCTCTTGACCATGTAAACCCTTGTACTAATAGCAATAACATCACCTGTGAATTTATAAAAATGGCAGTCCTTCTCTATCCATGCCATGCCCTGTGGAATAGCAATCTGTTTAACAAGAGCCCTGGTAGATGTTCATGCTCACTAAAACTTGAGGATGAGCATCATGTAGCCACAACTCTGTTTTGTAGTGAGTATATTCTTCTCTCTGGGAGATGGGAGAAAGACACCAGGCTGGCAGCCAGCTATGCCCTGTACTTGGAATGGTGCTCCGGTTACCTATGCTTTCCCTATCAGACTAGTGCATGATAGTCCACCTTTTCAATCAGGGGTGTGGTGATATTTTATTTGTGCTGAAATGTGGTGTGGTGGTTTGAAAGAAAATGGCCCCCAAAGGGAGTGACACTATTAGGAAATGTGGCCTTATTGGAGTAGGTGTGATCTTGTTGGAGGAAATGTTTCACTGTGGAAGCAGGCTTTGAGGTCTTATATATGCTCAAGATACTGTCCTGTGTCTCAGACCACTTTCTGTTGCTTGCAAGATGTAGAACTTTCAGCTACTTCTACAGCACCATGTCTGCCTGCATGCCGCCATGCTCCACCATGATGATAATGGACTAAACCTCTGAACCAAAAGCAAGCCTCTCCAATTAAATGTTTTCCAGTGTAAGACTTGCCATAGCCATGGTGTCTCTTCATAGCAATGGAAACCCTAACTAAGACAGAAGTTGGTACCAGGGACTTGGGTATTGCTGTCATTGCCTGACAATGTTTTTGTTTGGAGGAATAGAGACTTGGGTGCTTTGGGTTAGGAAAGCAGAAGAATGCTTTAAGCACTGCTTAATGGGCCATTCCAGTAGGAACATGGAAGACAGATCTGATGAACGGTGGGGGCCTTGCTCAAGAAGTTACAGAGGAGAAAAATTTTGGTAGGTTGCCTAGAAATTGTTCTTGTGATATTTTGATGAAGAATGTGGCTGATTTTTGCCCTTGTTCAAAAAACTTGCTAAAGACTAAAGTGAAGAGTTTTGGGTTAATTCCATTGGCAGAGGAATCACAAAACAGCCTATTAGAGACTCCATTATATGGTTATTAGTGCTAACTATAATGAAGACTTATAACGAAAAGGAGCAAGCTGAGCAGGGTATATTACAAAATGTAAAATTTAAGGAGAAAGGGAGCACCAAAATTGGAACGGAATGAAGTCCTATGTTAAAGGAGATATCAGATTGAGAAATGGAATAAAGGGAGTGGTGACCTCAGGGCAAGATCCCACCCAGCTAAGTTCCCAACTTGTGAAAATGAACTAAAGAAAAACTTATAGACCGGTGAGGTAGGGCACACCTTTAATCCCAGTACTTGGAAGGCAGAAGCTAGTAGATCTCTGAATTTGAGGCTAGCTTGGCTTACAGAACAAGTTTCAGGACAGCCAAGCTTAGGCAGTGAAGGACAGAAAGCTGTGAAGATGTGATTGAATGAGGGGGCCCCAGCAAGCAACAGAACTTGGCAGCTTCAGCTACATGGTCTGGCTTTAGAGTCAAGGATAGAAGGAAGAAGTAATGGAATTTGTCTCCATGCCTAAGAAAAGCTGCTGAGACCAGGCATGTGTCAGGGGTGTCTCTGAATGGAGAACCAGGGAGGTCATTTCATGAAGCTGTAAACTTGAAGACTGGATTGCCTAGGATACCCCAAGCTGTTAGAGATGCCAGAACAGTGGGATACCCACCAAGGAAAGCTGCTAACAAGAAGTAGAAACAGCCCTAGAAAAAGAAGTATGTTGCAGTCAACAGAGCTGAAAGGAGTTGGAAATTCAAAGAGTGTTTTGACATCAGACATGGAGATGCAGTTTAGAGTTGGCTCAATTGGTTTTCGGTCTTCCCTTGGTTCGGTATTTCCTTCCTATGCCCCCTTTCCTCCATTTTGGAATGATAATATATATCCTGTGCCATTATATGTAGGAAGTATGTGATCTGTTTTTTTTTTTAATTTTGATTTCATAGGGGATCACAGTTAAGAGATTGCATGAATCTAAGAGACTTTGTATGTTAAACTTTTAAATAAGTTTGAGACTGTTATAGACTATGATGATTTTTGAAATTGGACTAAATGCATTTTTGCATTTTGATATGGCTATAGGCCTTTGGGGACCAGGGAGTGGAATATGGTGGTTCGAAAAAAAATTACCCCCAAAGGGAGTGGCACTATTAGGAGGTGTGGCCTTGTTGGAGTAGGTATGGTCTTGTTGGAGGAAGTGTATCACTGTGGAAGCAGGCTTTGAAGTCTCATATATGCTTAGGATACTGCCCAATGTCTTACACAACTTCCTGTTGCTTGCTACTTCTCCAGTACCATGTCAGGCCACATGCTACCATGTCCCACCATGATGATAATGGACTGAATCTCTGAACTGTAAGACACCCCACTGTAATCTCTGAACAAACCACCTCAATTAAGTGTTTTCTTGTATAAGAGTTGCTGTGGTCATGTGTCTTTTCACAGCAACAGAAAGCCCAACTAAGACAGGGAGCCAGTTTGTCCTCAATCTGGCCTGTTTGGGGAATGCCTTTTCACAAGATGTGTTTGTCTGAGGTTTCTTTCAGAAGTCCCATGTCTCCTGGAGACCTGTCCAGGATTCTGGGAAGACCACCCAATTGTGGGTAGACGGGGCCTGATGACAGTGGAAGATCTTCCCACCTACCAGCAGGGAGCTGATCACATCAGAGCACACAACTGTTCCCTTTATCAACCGGCACTCCCACTCTAATTATATTCTCCATCCCTATAGATGGGAAACAGATGGCTGTGCACTAGAAAGCAGAGAGGGAACAAGCTCCCCAAAATGCTCTAAATTTCCTTCATGTCTTGTTCTTTTCCCTGATACACGTCTACTCTGCCCTCACCCCTTGCTTGCCCTTCTACCACAGTGGGTAAGAAAAAATACGTTTTCCCAAAGGGGTCAACTTTACTCAGTTTCTGAGAGCCATTGCCAAACTGCAAACATCTAAAGAACTCGCTATGAATAGACTGTTCAAAGAAACAATCTTATTTTCAAATAGTGCATCAGTGTCCATTCTACTTTTTGAATGGCTCCTTAATTCTCACTGGAGTTTATTAGTCATACTTGTTCCCCCTTGATTGAATTTATTTGTAGCTGCTTCCAAGATTATATTGACAGATATTCCTTCTTACAATTTACTAGCAACATTTTTGCAGTGCCTGAGCTGACATAAGAAAAATGGAGTGAACAGATGCATGCACTATACTCTGAATATCTAATTCATGGTTCCCTCAGCTCCTTATTTTTTTTTCCATTGTTAGGAGCTAAACAAAGAAGGTAGTATTTGGGTTAGTAAGATAAGTCTATTATTTGTGATTTATAGTTTTATACTTTTGAAAATAAATCTAATAAAAATAGAGATAAAAGTTAGTTGATGTCATTTGCAGAGTCCCTGCATTTTATGAGTTAGTTGCTATGGCATACATTATGATTTAGGACAAATTAAAAGGGTATGGAAAGAAAAATAAAGATCATTGGATCATCATTGTCCTCCACAAGGTTGCAAAGATAGAATTAGACCAAGTAACCTTTAGTTGGATAACAGACAAATTGGGGCTGTTCTTTGGAGTCTTACTGTCACTTTGAATCATAGTACTTCAAGACTGGGATGCATATGAGGTCATATGCAGTCAGAAGTTGCCCTCTTTTTGTATGTTGACATTATAAAATGTACTTAGTGGGTTGACTTGCTTTTAAATACCACAGGTGCCCTGGGAGGATGGAGCATACAGCTCATAGCTGCTGTCAGCATTCTGCCCTTCTTGGCATCCTGATCAGTCCCTTACAAGGAGTGCTAAGTTTCTAGTTGCCTCATCATCCCCTTGGCCGCAGTGCTCAGA